ATTTCTCAGGGCGGGATTCCTGATGGTGACAACGGTGGGCCGCGTCTGCGTAATGCGTGATGAAACGGCCGCTTGTTGTCACCATCCCATCTGGCGGGGTGACAACGCAGGAGAGCAGCTGGGTGAAAGTGGCAGAGTGTTGTCACCTTATAACAGGAAGTGACTGAACAAGGACCTCCATGGCGGGGGATTATTATGAATAAAGCTGCCGAATTGTAAAGGATTTAGAATCAGTGACACATGGAAATGAGACACCACTGGCTGGGCAGAGCTGCGGAACGTTCCGGATTCATATATATATTTGTAACAAGCAGTACATAGGCTTTAAGAAGGCTCAGACTGACCTCTGTAGCTGCAGGTACTGTGACGCAATTCATCACTGGAGTCCTTCCGCTCCCCGCGGACTCCAGTGATGAGTCCAGTGAGGACTCCAGAGCAGAGTGCTGAGACCAGATTTCAATGGCTTCACTGCTTTCCTTGGGGATTTTGCTGATGAATTCCTCCGCGCGGGCAGCAGCTACCGAGGTCAGGGAGAGCTCGGCTCACAGTTTCGTTGTCGCTCGATAACGAGATGTAGATATATGAAGTGCGGACACGGCTTGAAGGTGGACACTTGTTCAGCTGACAACGGTCTTAAAGGGAATTTCTCTCTCGCTTTGAAGAGATTTCCTTCTATTTCCTGTTCTATGTTCTTGGCAGGAAGTGAAGGGAAATCTCACCGAGAGGACACAAAGCAAATATATAACATGACCGGAGTTAACCCTTTCCGTCCTCAGCTGCACTTTGTTATGCTTGTTTAGGTGAACCTGAGCGCTCTGACCTCCAAACTTTCCTCCGCAGGGAATATTTCCAGCCAGCATCATTCACCTGAAGAAGGCGACGGTCAGCAACCGGGGGTGAGTGCCGCATGTATACTGACTGTGCCCCTCCCACAATGGTGAGATCCCTCCCAGTAGTTTGTGTCTCTGCCCCTCCCACAATGGTGAGATTTCCTCCAGTAGTTTGTGTCTCTGCCCCTCCCACAATGGTGAGATTCCCCCCAGTAGTTTGTGTCTCTGCCCCTCCCACAATGGTGACATTTCCCCCCAGTAGTTTGTGTCTCTGCCCCTCCCACAATGGTGAGATTCCCCCAGTAGTTTATGTCTTTCACTGAACATTCACTTATCAAAACACACCAGAAGATTCACCTGTAATGAAGGGTTGGTGAATGTCAGAATCACTGCTGTATCTATATGCCCCCCCCCGTCCCCCCCTATCGTGTACATCAGCTGATAGACATTCACTTCCTTCTGTTCCCTCTCAGTGCTGCGGATCTCCTGAAGCCTCTTTGCTGCCACTTCCTGTCTACATACCTCCTGTGATGGCCGTAGCTCTCAGTATTACCCCCGTAGCTCTCAGTATTACCCCCGTAGCTCTCAGTATTACCCTCGGAGCCCTCAGTATTACCCCCAGTATTACCTCTCAGTATTACCCCCGGAGCGCTCAGTATTACCCCCGGAGCGCTCAGTATTACCCCCGGAGCGCTCAGTATTACCCCCGGAGC